TATGTCTGCCTCGGAGAAGAGCATTTATTGGGCCCTCGTCTGTCATGCAATACACATCATCAGAGCAGGATATCATTCCTACAACCAACATGGGCTAACAAGTCAACAAAACCCACATGCGATATAAAAATTTGTTTTTTTTTAAATTTATTTATTTAAATATATACGCTCATGTTTCTGGCTTAACACGAACAAATAAAATCACTATATCCCACATATATATATCAATATCATTATATATATATATATATATATATAAATCTAGAAATTATATATATCAATATCATTATTTTCTAGATTTAAAAAAAAAATATATATATATATGGATGAGTAGGCATGAAATTTCCTTGCTTTGCCAAAAGGTATCTTCATCCAGGCCAGAGTGGACCGCGGTTTCGACTTGACCTCAACTGGTCTCACCAGCACCCTCAGCGGGACTCGAGCCATGACAGTTCAGCGTATAATCTCGACGCGTTAATTGTGGGCATATTTGTGTGGATGTGCATTTTGGCGTACGTATAGACACGCAATGGGCAATAATGGTTGCACGTAAACCAAACAGACAGTCACATCCACTCTCGGTTGCCGAGGTTTAATGACCATTTTGGTAGGAAAGCGTCAAAATGATTATGTCATTCGACGAAAATGCTAAGGAAAAAAGAGGACATCTACTGCACGTGGAGATAAGGTAGGTTGTCCTGACAGATTGGCTCGGACAATTTGTATGAGGGTACTTTGTCGAACGAAAACCGGCTAAATCTCCATCGAAACCGAAGGAGTCCGTCTCGAGGACAGCGCCAACCAGGTTTCTGTATGGTCCAGCAAGATTCGCGCTCGTCCAACGACAGGATTGACCATCCAACCGCGTCATCACTTGCTTCTGCTCGAGATGGAAGAGAGGCAAAAGATCCTGCGAAAAGGAAACTTTTGCTTGTCTACACTTGCGCATTCCGGGCAATACTGGAAAAATACTGTCCGGATTGAGCACAAATGGCTGTTGCTGGGTGGTGGAGCGGAAAACGGCCGAATAAATCGGTTTGTTTTCACGATTTGGCAACCGGCACTGCATAATTCCACCAAAAATGCTTGCATGTCTCAGTCAGTCGACTACGGCAGATCTGAGGAGGGTACCATTCCAACGCTCAGGCGGAGGTGGAGACGAGCGAAAGCGGAAGAATTGAGCAGAAATGTCGCGATTAAGACGGTCCTCCGGTTCGCCCAAGGTCAAAGTTCAACAGTGGCAAGTCTTGGCAACCGCGGTAAATCGGGCCTCTCGAAGAAGCAAAAGTGTATTATAGACACACGTCAATTGTGTCATGCAAAAAGGCCTGATTACAAGTCTCTCCCTCTTGCCTCATTCTCTTTTGCCAGCTGTCCAGCTGTCTTCATCTCTCTCTCC